GTTAAGGATCATTCACTTGTGACACACTTGTATACTGACGTGAACTAACATTTAATATAGTTGTTTCGGCCTGTGGAACACAATTTGCGAAGGCAGAAGAAGAAATCTGGTGATGCATCAGTAATCGCTTGTAAGCCCAGGCAATTTGCTTAGAAGTAGGGTTATTGTTGAATCCGCCTTTGCTTCGTATGAAGCTGAAAAAAATTTCCAGATGATCCTAGCTAAACTTGTAGGCCCCCAAATAATTACGCTGTAGCACCAGAAATAACAAACAGCACGCAAAAGTACACACAATACAAGGCAAAACAAGCTGCCGGTGTCCCAAAGTCACGTGACTTGCGGCCACCGCATGTTGAAACCTGCGCAGTAGGTTCACGCGCACTCTAGTTGTATCTCTCCTCTATGTGTTTTACACCAGGGACCTGCAACTCTCCGTCAAAACCGGGGACAAAGCTTAAGGGTGCTACTATAAGAAGCGCTAGTGTCGCCGGGTGCAGATGCAGGTTAGGCTCACGAACTTTCCCACTTACAAATTGGCTAAGTTGTGAGAAATACGAAAAGTGTCTTCTAAATGTTCAATTATTCATAATATATTCTTATAAGAAACCTCTGAAGTAAGCGCGAACATAGACGTTATCTTTTGTAGCATTATGGGCCTGCTTGCGACCCGCGAACTCACGCAGCAGTCATGCACGTTTGAAGTATCGTTGGCAGCAGTTCGTGTTTTAGTTCCTAAAGAAGGTGATGCAGCAGGGCGCGCCACCGTAATGGTTTCCACCACGTAATTTCCGAGTTAGAGGGCCCTGTTTTACACTTTCCTCATTCCCTCCAATGAGTGGCTCTTAGGGCCGGTTTCACCAACAGAGATTAGTTACCCGAGAGTAACCATTTACTCTAAGATAGTAACTCTCGAGTAGAGCGTTTCACCGTGCTTCTACAGGGTTATTTTACTCTAGAGTACATACTCTCCGATTTACTCCGCGAATCAGCTAACGCGCAATATTTGAGAGCGATTCACGAGGCTGTGAGCGAGAGTGACGCAGGGAACCACTGAGGACCTACGCGAACCTTTGATTAATTCCTTATATTCTATCATTCATTTTAGTTTCGGAGTTCTTGGTGGTATTATCTTGTGCGGTGTTATCGTGATTTGAGTTGGCATAGTTTATTTCTTAGTTTTTGTATCTATTTCTTAATAAATATTCATTTTTCTTCTCTGGAGATGAGTTACTATTTTGTTGGCAATGCAGAAAACAGTGATGCCAGATGTTTAGAGGAATTCCGCCAAGTTCGTTTCAGTTTCCGCCGAAAATCCGCTGAACTGGTTTCACAAATCCCGCTTAAATCCACTAAACGTAAAATAAATCCTTTTTCCATATTTAAATGTTGTATTAATTTATTCTATTAAAAATATGATTGCAAAATATAGTGGCTTTATTGAACCTGAAATTCAATTTTTAGATAATATAAAATGCATTACCTGGGTGACAATAATAACTAACCTGGGTGAAAATAATTGCAAAATAATAATTGATTTCAGGTATTATATAATTTATTATATTAGTATTACATTATTAATTCTTGCTAGTAACATGAATTTAGAAATTTTAAAAATATACATCTGTGCAAAACAACTTATTAATAAAGGTTTAACGAAAACTGATGCTTTACTAATTTTATTGCCTTACTAACTATATTAATTTCCGCCTTTTATTCCGCTGTCCGCGAAACTAATTTTTTTTCCGCCGTGCGAGTTCAAAATCCGCTGAAAACGGCGGGAATTCCACCGATATGGCAACACAGGCAGAAAAATCAAATTTCCAGTTCGTTTACCGATGGCGATGGAAATAAATTTTCTAGAACTCGGGAACGAAAATGTTTAGTTTTTCAAATGTTGCTGATCTCGCGTTCTTCTAAATTTTATTGTTGTTGTTATTATTATTATTATTATTATTATTATTATTATTATTATTATTATTATTATTATTATTAGTTTTTTAAATTGTATTCAACTTTGAACTATTTATAGTTAAAATGTTGGAAAGGGATTCTGGAGTCGTACTTGTAGTCCCTTATTATTTTTCCTTTTGTTATCGTATACGGTATGTAATACCTTTATTTCGTATCCACATGGGCGAAAAATAAATTTACAAATTCTCTACAAGTATCTCTACAATGTATCTGATGAAGTTAGCAGCTGATTTGGTCAAACATAACCTCGTGACAAAATCTCGATCGTCATAATTGAAACCAATCCATTCTCTCTCGTACCGTTTGTCTTCGCACTAATGTTCCGAATCATTGCTGGAATAGTCTTCAAATGGTATCACTCGTAATCGTCGAGCCATAAAAACACTTCGGAAGTACATACACGTTGAAAATTGAATTTACTCCGTACTTTACCCGACGGAGTTTCGCAGTGTAAAGTTACTCTCGAATTGACTCTCGTGTATGCGATTTACACTCGAGTAAAGTGTTGGTGAAACGCTCCAAGAAGTTACTCTCGAGTTAACATGATTTACCCCAGAGTAAACTCTTACTCTTTGTTTGGTGAAACCGGCCCTTACATCCCTAAAGACTCCGATCCATTAGTAACTGAGTTCGGGTCTTGTCTTTAAATTCCACGAGAGGAAGGCTGTCCTGGCGATTAATTGAATCGGAAAACGAATTTCGTTATCCCATAGACATAACGAATTAGTCATTAAACAAAGTATTATTGAATTGAATAGAATTAATGCCTTATTTTACGTGCCTACTCTTCCGTCTGACCACGCAGATTTTGCTACGCTCCTTCCACCTACCAGAGAGCGAGAAACAGGCGACTTGAATTTAGCTCAGAGGGATCACTTAGGCTTGAGGATCTTTTACATGCAAGTAAATCTACTAACATGGGACAGCCGGCTTTACTTCCCCTCCGAAGGAGGGCGTACGAAGGATATTTTCGGCCTTAAAAATCCACCCGCCAACTTTTGAACCTGCCACCTTAGGTATACCAGTCCGATACGCTAATCGTTACACCATCGCCGCGCAGATATTATTTCTTTGCGAAATCTCGATGATAATTATTACGTCTTTGCAAAATCTCAGTGAAAGCGAGGAACAAGCGTCTGCAGTGTCTCATATCTCAGTTCTCCAGA